TTGGAAGAATCTATTGTATGTTTTTTGTGTATGCTCATTTCAGCTGATAGTAGAAAGAAGCACTTTTAGAATTCAGAAAAGACAAGGAATCCAGAATGAATGTCCTTCATACATTTTCTATTCACATAGAATAGTGCCTTAACCTATCCTAAATAAATAGAGGCCTCCACTGTGCTAAAAGTGCTCTAAGCAATAAGAGTTTACAACCTCTCTCAGTCACCCATGCCAGGACATTGCCAAAGTTCACCTTTAATGCTCTCTCACACTGCTGATGGGACTATAGGTCAATGAAACCTCTCTGAAAAGCAATTTCGAAAAAACATTACCCCTTTGACCCTATAATTCCACTTTTATAAGCTGTATCCTAAGAAAATATAAAAAAATACAAACAATACTGAATAAAAATGTAACTTTTTGTATGTATTTTAATAAAAATAATTAGAACTGCACTGAATATAAGCTGTTGGTTCATAGATTATATAAATCAAAAAAATAAAATATTATGTAGTCATACACACACAGACAACAATGTTAGCATGATGCATTTTCTGTCTCCGTTTTGGTTGAGGCCCTAAAAAAGCAGAGAATAATACATCAGGGAGCAAGTATTCCTACCTATCAAAGTCTGCCTTCTAGGCAGCCCAAGAAGGGGGCAATCTTCACCCCTTAGTGTAGAGGAAAGAAATCCATTACATGCCCCAGCCTCCCAGCATCTGGAGAGAGGTGCATTCTGCAGAGTTACTCAGAAGGTCTCCAGTGGGATTGAACCCCAGTTGCTGATGACAACACTTAGCTCAGTAACATACTCTTTATTTTCTTCCTTCCCTGTCCCATGTGGCTGGTCCCCTCCCTTTTGCTTTCTACAATCTACCTCCTAGTACAAAGCCTGGACTCAAGTTTTTATCTCAGGCTCTACTGGAAGGTGAGATAAAATTAAGTTACTCCCAAAACATAATGCCAATGATATCTAAAACATAGAAAGGGAATTATGGATTTGGGATACCAAAAACTCAGGAAGGGAATTATGTACCACCCAAAGCAAGAAAACACACCTGAAAATGTGGCTCTCTGCTTCAAAGAAGAGAGGGGAAATACACTGAGAATATACGCTGGATTATTAGTGAGTTATCCTATGCCAGCATTATCATCTCATCACTGCCATTGTTACGGTCATACACCACCAGTGCAGATAGGGGTCAGTCAAGGTCCCCACCCTTCAGGGAATCACAAAGCTGGAAAAAGACTCACAGGCCTGGGAACTGTTTAAGGCAATTCCTCTCCCTAACACCATGTTCTTGCTGTCCTTGCTAACAAGAAAGCCTTAAGAGAACACAGCGTTATTTAAAAACTAATGATGAGTGTCAGGGGCAGGAGGACTATAATGTGTTTATGAGTTTTCTGTCCCAATTTGGAGCCCAAGTCACATCCAGATAGACAGCTGATTCTCTTCTCTGTGGTTATAATTCCTTTAATTTCCTCATGTATTTCAAACTACTCTTCAGGAAAAAGAAGGGATTCAGAGGCTAGCAATGAGGTAGACTTGATAATATGTGATCCCAACGAACTGAATAAAGATCCAAAAAGAAGGCTGCCCTGTGTACAATTCCACATGCTTGTCCTTGGCTCCCCTGCCTAGAATATCAAACTGTCCTCTTTACTGCTTGATAAATGTGAGCAAAAGAGCAACAGAACCAACAGAGTTGGTAGTGCTAGCTACCAAAAGTTTAGGACAGAGGTTACAAAATCAAATGTCTCCAGAGCTCAGGCAGGTTAGTATAAAGTAATGCAAGCAGGAATTTGTGGAGACAAAGGCAAATTGATGAGTATATGCCTCTTTTGAAAGATGATTCTGAGCTCAAGGCAGTTAAAATCCAGTGTTGAGAGACATTGCACTTTTTTTTGAGCCTCAAAAAAAGTTGGTTTTTATTTGTTGTTGATAGACATTGCACAGTTTTTGTTTGTTTTGTTTGTTTTTCGTTTTGTGTGTGTGTGTGTGTGTGTGTGTGTGTGTGTGTGTCAGTGTGAGACTCTGCAGTGTCACCTGGGCTGGAGTGTAATGGCACGATCTCCACTCACTGCAACCTCTGCCTCCCAGGTTCAAGCAATTCTTCTGCCTCAGCCTCCCGAGTAGCTGGGATTACAGGTGCCTGCCACCACACCCGGCTAATTTTTTGTACTTTTAGTAGAGATGGTGTTTCACTATGTTGGCCATAATCACAAACTCCTGACCTTGTGATCCACCCACCTTGGCCTCCCAAAGTGCTGGGATTACAGACGTGAGACACCACTTCTGGCCAACATTGCACATTTTTAAGAGCAACCAAGAAGTAAGATATCTAGATTTTACATGAAAGCTCCTGAGTTTTCCACGGTGGCAACTAATCCAAATGTTTTCTGCTCAGTCCATATTGGCCTGCATAGGATGTCAAAGAAAACATATTTGTGGGCTGTGTTTGGACATAAGTTATGAGAGTTATCTACCATAATTGGAGAATACATTGAAAGTGCACCATAATGGACAACTATAAAATTTTGAAAAGCAGAAAGACTAGAGAAAAGTGTTAGTTCATGAGTTGTAAATAAGCAAGAGAGACTCAAATTTGCAAGCTTATGCTTAGCGGGGCTGGTAATTTTAGATTTCTGGTCTTTTGGGGGCATCTTTCTACTTGTCCCATCAAGACAAGTAGGAAGATAGCCTACTGCACAAAGGCACCTAGAAAGAGGAAGAAGCCTCCGAGTAAAAGAAACAAGCTACCACAAAGAGTTAATGAACGTCTTAAGAAAAGGAAGCATATTGTTGACACTTAGATGAGACTCAAAGAAGAAGGATCCAACCTCCCAGGGGCTGGAGGAATACGAGGGTAGATAGAACCCTGCCAGCCAGCTCTACCTACCTCTTCCTTTGTGTGACTTTTCTGAAGGTATGATATGCTCTTCCTTTGTGTGACTTTTTGAAGTTATGACTTTTTTTGAAAGTATTCTGGTAAAAGGGTCTTTGGGGGGCACGGGGAAGTAGGGTTAGGGCATAGAACCTACTAGTCCTATCATTTGAAGGTAGGATAGCTTGAGTCTTAACTCAAGCACATCCTAAGCTGTGTGATCATAAGCAAGTTAATCATTCTGCCTGTTTCAGTTATGAAATTCAGACCCAGATTACCTTGATGCTACAACTGAGATAAATGAAATAACCATTCCACAACCTCTAGTGCAGAGCCTGACAAGCTGCAGCCTGCAGGCCAAATCCAGCAAGGTTTTACTAAAACACAGGCAGAGCCATTCACTTACTATGCCTGCTTCCACCTGCAAAGAATAAAACATGTGCTCTCTGGCCCTTTAACTCTGTAGGGGTTCTCTCAAGTGGCCCTACCACCTCGCATAACTCACAAAAGCTGCTGGAAGGTATAACTTGGGTCATGGTTGCTTACCTCATACAAGACTTTCATCAGTAACTATTGAATGTCCTAGACAGGAGATTCAAATGCTTCACATCCTGACGTTCTCCACAATTATCCATTTCAAAATTTTCTTCTAAGTTTCAGGTTTGAACATGTGACAGACAGATCTCCTGGCACTGTTAGATTTATTCTGGTTTTCTCCTGGACTACGTCTTAGACTATATATAAATGCTGCGTGTACATTTCTTAGAGTACATGGACATGTAAACAGGACCTGGCACACGGGTATTATTCAATAGTAAAACATGTCCTATGTCAAGGTAGTGAAAATAGTGAGGGTGGTGTAGAGGACTGCACCAGAATGAAGCAGAGAGGGCTACGACCTCTTCATCTTTGCCTTCTCCCTGAGGCTATGCCAGTGTATGCACAACATTGCTATAGCCTACTACTGCCAAACGTACTTATAACCTGTTACCGCAGCCTGTTAATAGCCAGAGGTATCTGTAACCCATCACCATGGCCTACTACCATGAGACGTGCTTATATCCAATGATATAGCTATCTTACCACAGCCTGCTACCACAAGATTGACTTGTATTACTACTACATACGCTACCTCAGGACACTGCTTTTGCGCCCAGCAACACCTGCCATAACATTTTTAAGCCATAGATTGCCACCTCTCCAGATCCCCACACTGAGTTTGACCAAATGTGACGATGGAAGAGCAAAAGCAATCATCAAAGAAACCCAAGAAGCTCGTCAACATCTAGGAAATAGGACAAAACCCTGGAGCCCACCTAAGTCAGCTGAACAATAAAAAGGCAGTTTCTGCATCTTTCATGTTCCAGAGGAGATAGAGAATTGAGTTTTGAGGCCCCAACCTTACAGATTAGCTTTGGTCTTGCTGGTAAATTGTTTTAAAGATTCTGGAGGCAAGTTGTGCTTAGCAGAACTTCTACAGTTTAATGGTAATGAATTAGGAGTGAGGGATTATTTGGTACTTTTCGTTAAGTTATACAAGGTTCAAATTTAATTAAACAAGGGATTCTATAAAGCTACAAGAATTATTTGATCCCAGATTGTCCAAACACTACATTATATCTAGAGTATACCACCAGGAGAAGCCCGAGGATGTTGTCCTTTAAAGAATTCCAAAGGCATATATGCCATTGTAAGCGTACATCATTGTGCCTTTGCTCTTTCTCACATTTACAATTCCTGGGCTTCATGATGGATGACCTGGGCTTGTTTTAGGAAAACAATCATCTTCATTACTGCCAACAAATGAATGAGAAGCATGAGCTGATGATGATCTGGTGGTTCACCTGGCTCAGCCTGCACTGGCCTTTAGGTGGTTTGTCAACCCAAATAAGCCCTTATTATGTGCAGAAAGCATCTCAATGTATCCAAAACCAAAGCCCAACCACAAATGTCATTAGCAAACCTTTCAAACAGGAAAAAAAGGGTAAACGACATATTTCCTCCTGACTCACATGGTAATCCCTCCACTCACCACACCCATCTGATTACATGAAGGGCTAGGGTACTAAGGTCACCCAACATCACTCTTCGGCTAAACAGTAACACTCAAAAACACCTTTGTCAGAGAAAGAAGAGACGTTTTATTTAGAGACCCTGGGGTGGAGAGGAATAATCAATGATGATTATGGTGGTCTTGGGCCTGCACCAAAAGCCCTTCTCTGTGCTGGCTGTGGGAGAGCATATGTTACAGAAAAGCACAAATTCAAGCAGCTTCTTCAACCAAAAGATTGACATATTCTGCTGACTAAAGAGACAAATAAGAAAATTAAAGATGTACAATCCAAATCCCATGTGTTTTTCACATAAGGTCCTTCCCAGCTCTGTCAGAGATTCCATCAAACACAGAGCTTCAAAGAGTTTGAGAGTCCCACCTCAAAGAGGTAGGACCAGGGTTTGTGTGATCTCTCTTTACTGTGTGGACAGGATGAGGAGGAGGCTCTACAGCACAAAAAAGACAAGCCATGAGCATGGAAAGCCTGGCTCTTCGAGGGACTGGGGGTGGGGGAGCAGGGAAAGAACTGAGTGTTGTTTTTTATTGGCGGGTGGGTGTCAGTGAGGGAAGGGATTGTTAGAGAAGTACTGGGGCCAGTCTTTAGAAGGTCACAGATCTTCGCTTTTGACAAAGGAATGACAGTTTGGGAGCTTGGCCAAGCAGGGATGACAATTCCTCAGTTCTAAAAGTCCCCTCTGTGATCAGAAAATATCATCAATACCTTGTCTTCCCATTCCTTTTCAGAAATAATTTCCCGGCTTTTTGCCTCTGTGGGGAATATTTCAGATGGCATGCTGAACACCTACATCTGCAGGCTTTTACCATCTTCTTCCGTTCCTCAACTATGGTCAGCACAAGGTTTTGGTTGAAACAGCAAGATCTTTTTGCTCCCACTGTTGTCCCTCTCTCCTACCCCAAGTCCATTTGTCCAAAGCCGTCCACCCATCATTCCCTTTATATAGTGGCTTATGACATGGGTCCTCCTGGTAAAGGGACATGATGATTGACAGCGCCTTGTCACAATGGCTGAAAGTCAACATGAGAGCTTAGTTGGGTGGTTGGGGCAGTACTGAGATGTTGGATAAAATCAAGAAAATGCCTACTAGGACTCCCTAAATCAGCTGGCTGCCTATCAGGATAGCCCGCAGGAACCCCCACGAATTACAGAAACCAAGCAAAATTCTCTTTGCCTTTCAAACACAAGTATGGCACTTTTAAAAAAGCCTTTGTCTGCTGACACATTTAGGCATACATTCCTGGTTCCATTGCCTTACTTCTAGAAAGAGCTGTTGTGGGAGGATTTGAACAATGGACACTTTTAAAATGAATCTATTGAAGTATAACTGACCTACAATAAACTGCACATATTTTAAGTGTACAATTTTGATAAGTTTCGACATAGGGATACACCCATAAACCATTACCACAAATCGAGATAATTAAGTAAGTTGTACTGTGCCCCCTTTGTAATCTTTCCCTCCTGCTCTTCCCCCAAGTTCTACTCTAAGTCCCCAAAATGTGGAACTTAAAGCTCTAGTCCAACTCATTTTTTAAATCCACTACCCCGGCCCTGTCTCCCAGAGCCCCACAGAAATACAGCTTCAACTTCAAGAAGCTTGCGATCTGGGAAGAGAGGGCATCCATGCAAATAAAAATCTCCAGGCAGAATCTGGTAGATATAAAATGCGACCAAATGCAGAATTAACCACAGAGTATAGGGGTCTTTGTTTTGAGTCTTGAAGAACAGATGGAAATTTAATAGGTGAAGATGAAAAAAAATAGTACAAGTCACTGAATTTTCTATGTACACCTGTACTTTTTCTACTTTTTAAATAACCCAGCTTGGTTAGAACGGAGGTTGCATGAAGAAAATAATAAAGGACACGGCTAAAAAGCCAGGTTGGGGTTGGAGACTGAGATATGAAAATTGAAGCACTGTAGTCGAAATATCTACATCTTGTAGACAGTGATGAGCTTCTCAGATTGAACTGAAGTATGACATGATAAGCCTTGCTTTATGAAGTTTCACTGGGCAGCAGTTTTCATGAAAAAAGAGACTCCAGCCACCTCCACAGTGACATAGCCCAGAGGCTGATCAAGGACTGCCACCTGGCATCATAGAAATGTGGGCCTCATAAAGGGAGAGGGAAGAACCCAACACACCTGGGCTTCCAGCCTAAGTAATGTGGCTCTGGGTGGTGTGCCAACCAGAAGGGTCAAATTGGCAGGAAGGTCCCAAGAGATGTCATCTCCTCTCTTCCTTAAAAGCCCGGTTTCAAACATACCTACTCAACAAAGGCTGTAGTGATTCACCCACTTCAAGAAGGCCAACTTCATGTTGAGGTCATGTCGGGTAGAGGTATGGAGGTGATCATCCAAGCATCCCCCACCATCCCTCTAATAGCCCACCTCTTACAGACTCCCAAGAGGCAGAGAACGCTACAGTTCTCTTGTCATTCTTTTAACATGAGACCTAAGGTTTTAATCCTGGGGAGGGCAACAATGGCAGAAGAGAAAGAGAGAGAAAGAAAGAGATGGAGGTGGAGTTGCATTTAAACTACATAGGTGATGCTGAACTTAATGTATTCTATTTCTTCCTTGTCAAAAAACAATTGAAGCAGAATCATTGTCTGGGGTCAATACCTGGGGTTCAAGAAGATCAGGAACACAGACACATGTGGAATGGATTAAGGAGCAGGAAGTTTAATAGGCAGAAGAAAGGAGAGACGAGATCAGCTCTCTCTCTCTCTCTCTTGCAAGATAGAGGCATCTGAAAGGGAAAAGCTGGCCTGGGGCAGACCTCAGCAGATTTTACTGGCAGGCTTGAGGTGGCAGTGTCTGATTTACATAGGGCCCATACATTGGTTCAACCAGGTGTGACATTTACATAGTGTGGAGAAGGCTGGTTGCTCCACCCTAATCTTATTATGCAAAATGAGCATTCCACTTGGCCAGCCCTGTGTTGTCTGCTCCTTATTGCACATATGGTTGGCTAAGAGAAGGGAAGATGGAGCCGACATTTTGATCATGTCTAGTTACAGGTAGCCTTTTCCTATTGGCACAACTGCCAGCATTCACCTGTGCAAGCTTCCACCTTGCTTGTCTTGTCTATGTCTGCAGCTCAATTTTACAGGCTGCTCTTTGTTAGAAAAGAAAATGTTTAGGGGACAGCTTTTCATTCAAAGGAAAACCTCCCCGAGGACTCCCATATCCTCACTATTGCCTAAGTACTTTCTTCTTAACTTCTATATCACAATCAGGTTGTCTCCACGTCAAAAGCTCTCAGACACCTAAGCTAAAAGGCTTGGAGTCTATGATCATAATTTTTTGTCTTAGAGATGGTTTCATCCAAATTTGTATAGAGGATCTCCAGCTATCTTACTAACCTCATGTCTGGCCCTTTGTGGTTTTGAGCTCTTTCCTATGCATGCATGGGGGTATGGGTCAGTGTGAGGGATGGCGAAAAGGAAGCGAAGAACATGTTGTCATGGGATCCCATTGTAATTTAAAATGTCTGAGAACCCACTAGGTATATACACATCCACATGGATCCCCCACTCCCCATCACTCCCACTAAGCAGCCTGAATAAATCCTCAGTTTGTAAACACAGTACCCTTATTGAGGACCTTTGTTTTGATAGATTATAGGGATCCACCCCTCAAGGCAAGAATGTATTGAGAATCTTCTGTGTGCCCATTTTTAAGGACCCAAGAAATGTAGAATATGTAAGAAACAGTCTTAAATTTAAAGATTATTCCAGTTTCTTACACAAGACCCCAGCCTCTCTGTTTACCAGCTTGGGGACCTTGGGACAATTACTAACCACTCGGATCCTGGAACATGGCAATAACGGTATCCACCTCAGAGGGTTGATGTGAGGGTTAAATGGCTTCACATCACCAGAGTACTTACCATATTGCAGGCACGGTCTTGCAGTAGGTAACAAGCTATTTTGGCTCTGTAACCCCAGAGTGAAAGGTGCCTGAGGGAAGGCCGAAAGGAAAAATAACAAGAACAAGCAAGACAGGGATGTCAGTCCAAACTGCCAACTTAGCTGCAGTGAGGAAGAAGAGTGAGGTCAGATAGGGGTGACTTCAAGGTCATGTGCATAACATGGGCCAAGGAAAGCAAGAAGTCCTGTCATTTTTTTAATGGCAGAGCAATAATGGTTAAATAAAAGCCCTTCTTTTGAGAAGCTTGGCTGAGAAGGGAAGGAGAGGATGGTGATTAGAGAGAAGCTTACCTTCTCCTGCTGAAAAACAAGTTCCACCATCTCTCCCCCACCCACACTCCTGCCCATACCCCCTACTGTGTTTCTGCAGGAATCCGATTGCCAAATGCTCTGCAGGAATCACCTAAGGTAAGGACAGAGAAATGAGATACTGTCCCTCGAGCGCTCACGCAGTGCCTGACGCTTCATAGTTGCCCTAAAAGTGCTCTGACCACTATCACGGCTTCCAGTTTTGCATGCCTTACTTTCAATACCATTCTTTCCTGAGTTTTCTTCTGTTCTCTCGGTCTCCTTGCCCTGCTCTCTCCTCCGAAACACCCAAAGGCTGATAAGTCCCATAACTTTGTCTCTAGAGCATCTCACCTGCTCCTGGAGATTCAACCGCACAAAACTCTACCTTGCCAGTGCTCAAAACTGCATCACCAGTCTCAGTTGCTCTTCTGGGCTGCAGATAGCACTATCCAATTTGTCTACAGGGCATCCTTGGGGACATTGGACCTGTCTGGTAGACATTTGACCTATGCAAAACTAAAATCAGGTTTTTCTGTCCACATATATTTCCTGCTCCTGTATCTACTCAGCAGTCATTCGCTATTCACTTAGAGCAGAAGTCTAGATTAAAACTTTACACCTCCACATAAGTCATGTCAGTATTTTATAACTCACCCCTTCTTCTCCAACTCCATTGCTGACTTGGGTTAAATGGCTCAATATCACTGGAGAACTTGCCATATGACAGGCACTGTCCTGCAATAGATAACAAGTTAGACTTCAAGTCTTTTGTTGATAGCTGTTTTTATGGTGAACATTAAGCCAAAGATATCACCCTCTGGGTAACTGACCATCTTCCTCTGCATCCCCTCTGTGGCGGCAGGTAGAGCACATCCACTAAAATTGAGTAGATGTTGATCTAAATCCCGGCCCTGCTGTTTAGTATTTGTAGACTCTTGAGCAATTTCCTGAAGCTCTGAGCCAGTAAGGAGGGGAACTCCAACTAGGTGTTTAGTCTCCTCGTTAGCAACACGATAGGATTGTCATTAAGCCTGAGTCCTTCTCTCTTTAGCTTAATGAAGATTTTTAAGACTGGGAGAGATAAAATGATCTGTCCACATTTGGTAATTTGAGAAGCCTGGATCCAGAAAATCAGTCTGACTAAATATTGTAGGAAATCATCCCAGGTCCCCTGCTCAGCTCTTCACTTGTAGATTGGTTGATGGACCTCATGTGGACTTTGTGACATCCCAGAAAGGGGAAGACCAAGTCATAGTGGTCTAGCTTCTTTGCAGCTGGGCCCCTTCTGTCTCAGAGCTAGGAATACAATCTTCAGGCAAATGACTGGAAAGCCCCTTCAGGCTCCTGACATCTCCCATCACTAAGTATGAGCACTGAATGTGTGCATTCAGCCACACTAGAATACAGCAGAAATGCATGTACCCCGGGACTCAGCCAGTTTCCTACAGGAGCATAGAAGAAAGCACCACTAAAGGAGAACGAGGAGGAGGAGGAGAAAGCGGGTAGTGATTGGCAAGGCTCACAGGTTGGAGTAGGAGGAATGAAGAGAGGAGCAGTACCAGCTGTGGATGGAGGATGTATGTGAGGAGGGGAGAGGAGATGGTCATGGAGCCAGTAATGAAGAGGCTAAATTCATTCTCAGGCACATGGCACAGCCTCAGTATGAAGCAAGTCATTTGCAAGTAT